GATTTTATTTTTTAATCCAGCTTGACAAAATTTTTGTTCCTTCATTGGAGCCCTGAATCCATTTACATGTAATAAAATCTCTAACAGTTGAATTTGAGTGTACCATTATTTTCTCCTTAGGTTTCTCCCACTTGTTCTGGAGATCCCCCCCCCCTTTTTTTCTGCCTTCTGTTGTATTGACAACGTTGTGGGTTTTGTTTGTTTTTATTTTTTATTTTTTTTTAATATATTTTATTGATTTTTCACAGAGAGGAAGGGTAAGAGAGAGAGAGATAGAAACATCGATGAGAGAGAAACATCGATCAGCCGCCTCCCGCACACCCCCCCACTGGGGATGTGCCCGCAACCCAGGCACACGCCCCCGACCGGAATCGAATCCGGGACCTTTCAGTCTGCAGGCTGACGCTCTATCCACTGAGCCAAACCGGTCTCGGCATTTGTTTGTTTTTATACATTCCATTTTCCCCCTGCTGGCCTCAGTGTTTAAAGAACTAAAAGGAAAACACCCAAATTTACAGTCATATTTGGGAGATTTTGGCATGCCTTTTCTAGAAGTTGATAGAACAAATTAGGAAGGATACAGAAAATTTGAACAAGCCAATTAATGTTGTCTCAGTTGATGAATATATAGAACACTGGACCACAAGATACAGAATATATATTCTCAAGTATATGCAGGACTGCCACAAAAATTGACCATATAGTAAGCCCTGGAGCAAGATTAAACAAATTTGACAGTATTATACTGAATATGTTCTCTTGACCATACTAAGCTAGAAGCCAATAAAAAATGAGAAATTCTTATATATTGGAAAAATAAGAATTATGATCCTAGTAACCCACGTGTCAATGGAGAAAGAAGGAATATTTTGAACTGAGCTATAAGAAAGTACCATATATCAAACTTTGAGGATAAAGCTAAATTAGTACTGAGAAATGTGTGGATATAAATGAGTATGTGAAAAAGAAAAGGCTGAGGATCAGGGAGGTAAAAACAGGACAGCAAAGGAAATCCAGATAAAAGTTGAGGGTATGTAAAGATAAGAACAAAAATGAGTGAAATGGCATTATATACTAGATATAATCAAGAAAGCCAAAAGGTGTTTCTTTAACAAAAAATGAAATTGACCAGCTTGTGGTATAATTCATCAATTAAAAAAAGTAGGCACACCTTTTGGCTAAGATCAAGAGTAAAAAGTCACAAATAACCAATCTTGGGAATGAAGAAAGTGACATCATTGTAGATGCTGCTACAGACCATATAAAAATGAAAAGATATTTCAAGCAACTTTGCCAAAAATTTGATTGAACTATACAACTCTCAGAAGAATACAACTTAAAACAGATTCAAGAAGAAGTATAAAAATTGCATAGAATGGAATATCTTCCCATAAAGAAAACTGCAGATCCAGAGAGCTTCACTCATAAGTTCTACCTTGTATTTAAGGAGATCATTTCGGTAATACACAAACTATTCCAGAGGACAGAAAAATATTGAATACCCTGACTCATTTTATGAGACTAATATAAGTGAAAGCAAAAGTTGAGAAGGACAGTACAAGAAGACAACCAGAGGCCAACCTCCAAAAATGTGCAAAGAAGCAAAACTGCTAAATAAGTATTTTCAAACAATTTAGCAATTTATAAAGAGAAATAAAACAGTATGACCAAGTGGGGTTTATCTCAGAGATTCAAGGCTGGTTTTAACATTTGAAAATCGCTAGTAGTCACCTACCACCATAATAAAGGAGAAAAGTCATCTAATCATCTCAATAGCCATAGAAAGATGGCTAGATAAGAGCCAACATCCATAAATACTCTAAACTAGGGTTAGAAAGGGAATTTCTTTTTTCTTTTTTTGTTAATCCTCACCTGAGGATATTTTTTCCATTGTTTTTTAGACTGGAAGGGAGGGGGAAAGAAGGAGAGAAACATCAATGTGAGAGAGACACATTGATTGGTTGCCTCCTGCATGTGCCCCAACAGACCAGGGCTGGGGCTGAGCCTGCAACTGAGGTACATGCCCTTGACCGGAATCAAACCCAGTACCCTTCAGTCCACAGGCCAACACTCTATCTACTGAGCCAAACTGGCTAGGATGAAAGGAAATTTCTTAATTTGATAGAGATTACCAAAAAAATAACTTAGCGTAAACGTGATACTTAATGGTGACATATGAATGTTTCTTCAGATCAGGAACAAGGAGAGGAAATACACTCTCACTATTATTCAGCATTAGCGTGGATGTTCTAGCTGGGACAGTAAGGCAAGGGAAGAGAAGGCATGAAAATCCAAAAGAAGGAGGAAAGGATTCATTACAAGTGATATGACCATACACATAGACAACTGAAAGGAATCTATAATCTATTACAATTAATTTTTTTAATTAAAATTTTTCATTTATGGCAAAAAATATTCAAGAATCTAGGAATAAACCAGAAAATATTTACATAGAGAAAACTATTGAGCACTTTTTAATAGTTTCCTTCACTCCTTCTCATAACAGTTAAGGCAGATGTTAATACTACTATTATCATTCTTATTCTACAAACGAGGAAAGCGAAGCACAGAGAGGAAAATAAGCGTGCTCCAGGTCACACAGCCAGTAGGGGGGGTTGAACTGCACTTGGAACTGGGGTCATTGGCTTCAGAGTAAAGTGAGGCCCTTAAACATGCAGAGCAAGAGGACACTGAAAGCTGCACCCTCAAAGTAGGTGTGCGCAGTCTGAGGCAGAAAAAAAGTAGATTATTTTTAAATGTACTTACCTGCAACCACTTGTAAGCTCTGAGTGAGGGCAGATATGTATTGTATCTGTGCACCAAACACTGGGTCGGGGACAGAGGGCGTTCAATAAACAGGAACTGAATATCTGAATGAATGGTGCATTTATTTGGATTTGAGACGCCAGAGAGTGAGTGAGTCTGTTTGAATAAATTTACTGAAATTTCCCGAGTGTTCATAGAGCCCTTGGATTCTCATCGAAACTGCGCACATTAACATCTGGGGCTCAGCACTGTGCCTGTTTCTCTGGGGCTAATAAGCTGCTCAGACATCATTACAGGAAGGAAGTTAGAAAAGTGTTCTTTCTTATTCTGGAGCATCCGTGTCTACCCAGCATGTCCTCAGACTCCATCCTTTCCATTTTATTTTTATTTTTTTAAAATATATTTTATTGATTTTCTACAGAGAGGAAGGGAGACGGATAGAGAGTTAGAAACATCAATCAGCTGCCTCCTGCACACCCCTCACCGGGGATGTGCCTACAACCAAGGCACACGCCCCTGACCGGAATCGAACCTGGAACCCCTGAATCCGCAGGCAGACGCTCCATCCACTGAGCCAAACCGGTCAGGGCCATCCTTTCCATTTTAAATGTTTAAATGTTTCTGGCTTGGTGGTAACCTGAATCTGGACTTTAAGGTGATGAAGGACAAGACCCTAGAGCTGTGGTCCTCAACCCCCCTGGGTGCACATTGGGATCATTTGGGGAAAGTTTTGAAAATCAGGTTCGGGCCCCATTTACGCAGATTCTAATTCAATTGGTCTCGAGTGGAGAGAGCATTGATGTCTGTCATCTGCCTGTCTGTCTATATCCATCCATCCATCTTTATATCTATCAATCTGGACATATATAAACTCTTTGTTGAAATATAACAAACATACAGAAAAGTGCACGTCTATTGGTATATTTTCACGTTTCCAGGATATTCTAATGTGTTGAGAACCATTCTTGTTGGCAAAACTGTAGAACAAAGTTTATCTTTGGGCCTTTCCCGCTGTTTCCCTTCAACCTTTCTCACTACTTACCAAAAAGAGCTTCTGCATCGACCCACAACTGGCAGCATCTCATGTATTTATTTAATTCCAAATTGATATACAGAGTGCCATCGCTGTGCCGGCAGCCCCAGGTGGGCCCATGCACCTTCATCAGATATCAGAAGTTCACTGTAACGAGTGGAACAGGGAGAGGGACCACAGACCCCTAAAGAAAGGGAGGTGGGGATCTCAGGGGAGGGAGTGGCGGGTGAGGGGTGCAAGCCCCCTCCAGTTGGGGTTCAGTGTCCCTTGGTTGAATGAGGCCAATTTTTGCTCAGCCTCAGTCATGAGCTGCCAGATCTTCTGACTTTTCATGAGAGAAGCTGGAAGTCCAGATTTTTATGTGAAATATCCAAGTATTTACATGCTGCTGGGGGAACGAAATGGCCCCTATTTATAGCCACACTGTCATATTTACTGTGACCACCTGCTCGTGGCCAGGGAACTTAAAACTCACTGCATTCAAACCCCCCTTTCCTTCTCCCTTGCCCCTCATCAACGTCAGTAATCTTATTGTAATGAGAAAGCAGAGGCCCAGGAAAATGAATGTGCTGCTCCAAGTCTATAAGAGGCACAGGAGGGGTCAAACCCAGGACTCCTCACTCCAGGTTCAACTTGTTTCCCCATCACCCCACCCCTTCCCTTTACCGACAGGCGGCTAGCTCTCCCAGCTGCCTCGCTGGGGAGGCACAGCTACAGAGACGTCTGGCTCAAGCATCCATCATAACGACAACGTAAACGTATGATGGGAAAGAAATTCCATACACCACTAATGTCCTTCCTCATGGTGCCAGGCAGGGTGGAAGCTGGGGCTGCTTTTCTGAAAGCCCCTTGGGAGAGCCGCAGATAGCAGAAGTTCTAGAGCTCTAGAAGCCAGGGTTGCCTCGTGTCTCCATGGGAACAGCCCAGCCAAAGGGCACCTGCCCCCTCTCTGTGTATTCCCCATGTTCCAGCCTTCAACACCTGGCATGGGAAATGTAGACTAATGTTTCTTCCTCCTCAAATTTCTGGGCTAGAGGCAGGGAGCAGGGGAGTGGTTTGGAAATTAGCTGTATTATATGTTGATTTGGTAGAGTGATTACCAGCAGCTGGATAAGTGGAGCTCACCCAGGGTAGGTAAAGCCAGGTCCTCTGTGTGTGGATTAGTCAGGGGTTCCCTCCCCCAGCTCATTTAAAGCCCTAGAAACTTCAGATTTAAATTTTAATGACACTGTAAGTACTCAGATAACCATTCTTTCCCTCCCCCTGTAGCGGTTCCTGACTTGTCCAGGGGTGGTCCAGGGAACTTCAGCTTTCCAGGGCTTCTCTTGGTGGGAGCCTTCCAAGGACTCAGGCAGGAATTATTCCCAGCAAGGGTTCATTCAGCACTTTGTTACAGAATGTTAGAGCTGGCTATCCTTTCCGGACGTCTGGCCAGTAAGATGGAGAGGAAAGAAAAACAGCCGGCAAGGCCTAGGCCATCCAGCCACAGTGCTCACTGGCTTGGACTTGGGTCTCTCCAACCAGGAAGCAACAGAATGCAAAGGAAGGGCCTGGACAAGAAGGAGGCTCAGAAGAAGAGTGGGGGCGCTGCCACCTCCGTGGGAGCGGGCCAGGCTGGGGCCGGGAGGTCAGCGTCGGAGGCCAGGTGGGCCGCTTCGCTGTGGATGCGCTGGTGCCGCACTAGGTGAGTCTTGCGGCTGAAGCTCTTGCCGCACTGCGGGCAGGAGAAGGGGCGAGAGCCCGTGTGGATGGCTTGATGGCGGACCAGGTTGGTTTTGGAGCTGAAGCTACGGGCGCAGACGGTACAGGCGTGGGGCCGACTGCCCGTGTGCACCGCTTGGTGGCGGCTCAAGTGGGACTTGCGGCTGAAGCGGCGGCCGCACCAGGCGAAAG